GAACAGGGTGAAACAAAGGAAGGACTCTAACAAAAAGGAGCCTGTGTACATACGAAGAAATAGATAATAACGAACTAAATAGAAACTAAAACCCTCACTGTCAAAGTGGTACAGTCTAAAGAAAGGAAGCTGTAAGAACACACAGCTGAGGCAAAGTACAACAGTCACACAACACTAAACTAATCGAGACACATCTAATCACAATAATACTGATCAACACGGACCACACAAGTTAACCTACTGTTTAACACATTCGCACACAAACTAGCCACTAGCGAGAGGCGTCTGTTCCCCCAACAGAGCCTCCAGAGTGATAGTTGTCCCCAGGCTTTGTAGTCATCTCCAGCAGGTGTGTGCCGTCTGGGCGCTGCGATTGGAGTGCGTCGGGCCCGGCGTGCTCCAATCACAATCTTCAGGGGGGCGGACCAGGAGATGGCAGCCAATGACGTCAGGGCAACCGCACAGCTCATTTACATATAACACAGCTTAACACAATTAAGACGACCAGAAAGGCAGCAGCCGTAACAACCATCCACAAATGACTTGATGAACTGCCACGAGGGGAAATGTGCAAGAATGCTTTTTTATGGATGTAAATATTAAAACTAATGTTTGATCTGGCAGGTTCCTGTTCCGCAGTGGTAACCAAGAGCACCCGGGTGACAAAATCGAGAACACCACCGTGGAAATACTGCCTTTTTCGGTAGGAATACACACACACACACACGCACACACACGCACACACACACTCTGTCACCCTTCTGGTGTGATGTGCAAACAGTTTTTATTTAATTAAATTGAGTGGTTGCTCTTAGGCATATTGATTATTGACAGCAATGTGAGCATGACAGAATCGTTGCTGCGCCCGAAACGATACATCCTGGCGCTGAGGTTCACACTCCCCGTGCAGGCTCACATGTTTGCGTCCGTTTAGAGTGCTGCGTAATTTTGAGAAATCATTAAAAAAGTTGTTTGTGTCTCATATTTATTTGACTGTGCTCTACATGTTAGGTACCAGGACTTCAGACCAAAGAAAAGTACAAGCGAACTGAAGACCGCTTTTACAGGATCGGTGAGTCCGATCAGATTACATACTCACACTGATGCCTACATTGATAGAAGGTGTTCAAACAAATGTATGTTTTCTCCGTCACGGCCTTTTTCCATTTCCCCTATTTTCATCTGACGTTGTTCTGCTCTTCCTGGAGTCGTTTAAGTCTTTATATTTTTGCTGACAATATTCTAATAAGATTCTACTTTCATACCTTCTTCGTTAAATGTTCCTTGTGGATGTGATTTAGATAAATGAATTGATCCCTGTAGGGGAACTCGGCTATTAAAGCAGCAACAGGCAAACATTTAGAACAAAGGGTAGGACAGGTAAGAGTTCACACAATGATCAATAAGAATACATAATAGCGAATGTCAGAAACTGAATAAAATAACAATACAATTAAATAATTAGATTAGATTAAAATGTATTGTCATTGCAGAGTACACAAACTGATACAACAAAATTGCTATGGGCGGGGGGGGGAAAGCAGTAAAGTGCAGTGTAATTCATAGTATAATCTAAGACAGATATAAAAAAGTTGAAGTATGAACAGTATGTATTGGTATAAACAGTGCTATAGAAATTGAATGCACTCTAGAACAGGTATAAATATAGACAGTTTAATAGACACTATAGACAGATTAAAGAATAAACTATAGACCCTTTTAAAACCTATAAAACTAAGTGTAAGTACACCAGAGGAAATATAGCTGTTTTATGAATACAGAAAAGTAAATACAACTTAAGTGCATAAGTCAGTCACTGGGTATTCAGGTGAGGTGATTAAGGCCCAAACATTAGGTTAATATTCTTCCAGCGGGTCAGTTAATGTTTCCCTCTCACTTCAGCACCCAGTGTTAATCATTAGCACTGGGCTCTCCCTATATATATGATTTACAGTCCCTAATGTTGTCTTTGTGTCTGCTTGAACCCACAGGTCAGTTTGAGAAGGGTGTGGCAGAGGGAGTCGTGGATCCCTCTTTCAATCCCATCATCGCTCTGCGGCTCTCGGTCATCAAAGACTCGGCAGTGTGGGCCATCCTCAGTGAAGTGAGCCAAACACACACCTGTTCCTCTCCTGTCAAATCACATTTAACACCACTTTCTCAAGATGCATTCTGCCTCAATGTTTTAATCTAATAGCACATGTAACGCTCTCCTGCAGATACATATAAAGAGGATGGCAGGCTGACTCTGGATCATGAATCACGGCCCCCCGGGGGACCAGACTCTCCTCGATTGCTTACACAGGGCCTCTGGCGCCTAGCAACCAGCAGTGAAGTCATCCGAGCCCGCTGTCTGAGGAGCGCCGCCTCCCTGTACCCTGATCTTCGTCCGTTTGTTTTGTTTTTTGCTTCCCGTCGATCGATTCCTCCATTTCTCTCTGCATCTCTCCCTCACTCTTGTGCTCTTAATTCATTTCTTGAGAATGTGAATACTACTGTCCTGAAGAATAGCGGCAGAGTGCGTGAAGCCATTCTGCTCCGGCTCTCAAAGTCTCTGTGTTGCTCAGCGGCTTTGAACCCAATCAGAAAAAAAGGACAAACGAGGACAAATCATCACATCTGGGGAGAAGCGGTGGTGTGACGCTGCCAAACCCTCCTCCTCCGGTGACTCAATGCTGCCACCTTCGGGCCAGCTAAGGCATTGCACTGTCACTAACGCCTCAGCAAAGCAGCCCTCGATGATGGAGAATGTTGTCATCGCTAACGGCCAGTCGCTCTGTTCCCGACAGAGATGACGGAGCTCCAGATCAACACCAGCCCAAACAATGTTTCCCTCACTCCCAGAGTATTGTCCGACACACTTCAAATACTCCACTTGTCCTGAAACACACACTCAGGACGAGCTTGTTCCAAAATCCTGCCTGTAGCCAGTCAGTAACAACTTTGACTAAACTGTAGGGCACTTTCTGAGGTAACTACCCCGATCCGTTGAGAGAATAATTTCCATGACACCATATCTCAGCTCCTGTCTGACGGGCCGTGTGACCTCAGCGTCCATTTACAGTAAACCAATCAGACATTGCCTTGGCGTCATTTTCCCGAAGGAATATATTGTTATATTGATATATTATTATAGAGCTATGACGATCTATGAAGGTGACTTAATTTATTTGAAATAAACCTTTAATTTGTACAAGAGGTAAAATATATTTTTATTCTATTGAGAGATGTTTATGGTAGTTCAGAGTCTGTTTTTATCTGTGTCCTGTTGTGTTTGTTGCCTAAATTGCTATTATACATTTTCTTTCATTATTGCAGCTACTTGCAAACTTTTGTCTGCAGGTGCTCGGGTCAGTTCTTTTAACTTGAAGTGAAACGTTTGAATTTAATTTCACTTCTTAAAGACCGAATGGTAGGAGAGTTGAGAATAGATTCTGTTGAAGAAGCTGTGGGTCAAAATTAGAAAAAAATTGTGCCTTAAATCCAGGTCCCTTGAAATTGTCTCAGCAACATTATTCCAATCTCTCACTCTTGCCTACACTTTGAATGCTGGATATACTAATATTTTTAAAATAATATACACAGTCAACTAAGTTACTGGATGTTTAGATCAACATCTGAGTGAAAGCGGTTCAAAAAGGGGGGTGTTTATTTTAAACAGCGTGATTTGCACTGCTTTTTTCACTTTTTGTGTTGCCATCACACTTTTCACCATTGCACTTGCGTTTCCCATCTTCCCATAGTTCATTTCACTGATTCCTCCAAATCTATATGACAAACTATTTTGTTCAATCAAGTATCTGTTTTTTGATTGGACAGAATATTATGACTACTGATGATTGCGCCTTTCGTTGTAAGATTTGACTGAGGTTGTATTGTTCTTTCACTGATTGTAAATATAAAAAAAAGCAATGAGCATTATCTCTTATTTCCCTCACCCTCTCTGTTCTGCCTCATGTAATAGTTTATTGAAATTCAGTCGACATGTTTTGTGTTTGTGTGTGTGGCCAATATTATGAGTGGATGAATGTCACTCATTTGACATGTTAGTGGTTTATCGAAGGGGAAAGTGAAGTGCCTTTTAGTGGAATTGTTTTTTTCCTAGTCATGCTGTTCATGTGCATGATTATTATTTCTTATCTCAGCCACCTCTTCGTCAGTCTTTTTTTTTAATTGTGAGAAGATGAGAGCTGAATGGTGGACATGATTTCAAAAGTGTGAAGTCATTTTCAGTACTAATTACAGGACTTGCTCTCCCCTCTTGTCCTGGATCCACGTACAGACTGAATGCATGAAAGCAGCATAAACGCTCATTAATCTCCTTATGACCCCCCTTACTGTAATTGTTTAAAGTGGAAATGAGAAAAAACAATGAAAGGAACTCTTCCCCTTGATTAAAAACAAACCCACACCCCCATCAGTTCATGTGCCTTCATCATGTACATGTATGCCTGCCGCTGATGTTTGACATCATTTTTCATGGACATCTTTGAAATAAAAGTTGTTGGAAGTCATGCCCATTATTTTTCTGTGTTATGTTGTTCCACGTGCGTTTCTCATGCCATCTGTATCACCAGATTCCAGAACAGCTGTAAAGAAAAAGTAAATCTATTGCAAATATAACCACAAAGCTTATTTGATGTAGTTTTTCCACACATGGATCAAGATTGGTCTGCACAATGTTTATAAAACAACTCTCGAGGTAAAATGTGTTTGAACCATAGACTGTATATAAACAGTTTGAACAGATCAATTATCTGTATGTAGAATATATATTTACAAATGTTCTTTGTGTATTTGTAAATTAATTTGAGTATTCACGGATTTCATTTTTGTGTGTAATTTCTTTCTGTATTTGCATATCTTTTTTAATATTTCTGTGAGTCATTATTTTTACATTTGTGTTTAACATTAACATTTACACACGGATTATTGATCTGTAAAAAAAAAACTACAAACCTTCCCAGCATGCAATTCTCAGCACTACGTACTTCCGTTTTCCCGTCATGCACTTTCAGAAACATGGTGGCTGAGAACTTCCATAACATTGGTTGTGTCACTGTTAGGACATTGTTGTAGTTGTGAATGTATGTAAGGACTAACTGGTGTTAAAGTGGAGTCTGCGCCATGCCGAAGTACTACGACGAAAAAGAGGAGGATGGCCGGGCCTGCGCCGGCGTCCGAGAGGACTTCAGGGCCTGTCTGATGCAGCACGACTGCGTGGTGAAGGTAGGAAAATGTCCTCTAGAGATAAAAACATTCAAGTTCAACGTGTTGTAATTACTTAGTTAAAGGTTAACAGATAAGATAACCCTTAAATAATTTGCTTTATCAAAGTCCCATGGAAAACGTATTTATTTTCCCCCTAACCCATAGGCTGTATATTATAATATGTAACCGTCACCCTATTAATAACTTTACCCGATTTGTGTACATCCGGAACTTAATATCCAAACATATATACTCAACATTAGGAAATACATAATAATTATAAAACATAATAATAAACCTAGATAATACCAGTTATCTTAATGAACCAGTGGTTGACAATCATTCTGAGGTCATTTTAATCAAGTACTTTTTACATATTTGTACTTTACTTGCTACTTTATACTTCTAATCCACTACATTTTGCAGGGAAATATCATACTTTTTAGTCAAATTCCTTAATGAGGTTTCTATAATAGCTAAATTATCCTATCCCAGAAATCAAAAAGGATTGTTTCACTAAGTGTAGATAGGAAATATGTCTCTGTAATACCAACAATCCTCAAATGTCATCCCTAACTAAGATAAAACAACATTTCCAACTGAGGAAGTTAGTGCAACGAGATCAAATACTGCATTTGTGGGAGGGAATCAGAGGGAATGCATGTTTTGCTCATGGGAGGGTCCAGGGTATTCTAACTGGTTTCTGATTTTGTCAGGAGGGGAAGATGCCCAGTGAGTGTCTGAAGGAAGGCCACTGCAAAGCCCTGCAGACGTCCTTCTTCGAGTGCAAGAGGTCTATGGTAAGTCATCGGTAATGACATCAAAGCATTTGTGAAACTACAAAGTGGAAGAATAAGGAGTAGAGGGAATGTTTTACCTTCCTCTTTCCTGCTGTGACTGCTAGCTGTGTGTTCCCCAAGTGGTCAGAAGCACAGTGAGACATACATCATATTATTATATCCAAAACAGAGAATGATTCAATTCAATTCTGTCTTTTCTTTTTACAGATTGACACACGGTCGCGGTTCAGAGGAAGGAAAGGATATTGAGGACTGAACCCTGGACATCTGTAAATACTTGTATTTATTAAATCATTCATCAGCGTGGCTCACTAGGCCAAGGATGTGCATCCTCATCTGAAATGTGTCAAAAAGTGGGCAGTAAAGGTCTACCTAACGTTAATCTGACATACAACACAAGCAACATGAAGCGCTGAAAACACGGGAGCTTTTTTTGAATGAATGTGTGTGTTTGTTGTGCTATGAGCTGATGTAATTAAAGAAATGGTACAAAATAAAGAGTTCTTATTCAAATTTTAATGATGTGTTGTTATCAAACATCTTCTGACATACCATGTATATGCATTATGAAAACACTGTCATACAATTGAGGTAGAAAGTGGACTGAACAACTAATGGAAATGTTACAGAAATCGCACTTTAGCCAATAATTGATCGAGGGAAATGTGTATCAAAATATATTTTTCAATACTGTAGTGCTTCAAAGATGTCTTGGTTTACACGTCATATTCTTTAGACACAATAAACTAATTATTCTGTACAGACCGCTGCAAAATTCAAACTGTATTTATTTCTGTTTATTTTCAATGAAAATTAGGATATCGGTCAAAATAATCACAATTGTATATATTTGTAAAACGTTTTAAGCGTTAAAATTGCATGGTACAACATTAGTATTACATCCTTCCTGCTAAAGACAAAGTCATAGTTTATAGTTAGTAGCAGAAGTTTAAATACAATATATGGCCTTATTACTAAAAACACAAATAGAGAAATTAGCCAAAATGTGTGGACGGACAAAGTGACATCTTGTGTTTAAAGGTGTTATTTTAAAGCAGCCATCATCATCTGCTTGAACTTCTCCATATCCACCTTCTTCATGATAAAAGCCTTGCGCTCCTTCTTCAGGAAGCCCACGGTGTCCATTATCATCATGCCTCTGGTGTGTGTTCCCGTCAGCTCCACGCTCACCGGGTAATGGTCGCTCTCTGTGATGAACGAGTCGTCCACGGCGGCTGCCATGGCGTACGAGTCACAGGAAACGAAACCTGTACCGGCGACAAACTCCTTCTGCAGGCGCTCACTTTGAGATGCCTCGATGCTGTGGCGGAAGATCCGGGCCATGAAGCGAGCTTTATCGGTGTCCTGCGCCAGCCAGGCGTCACAAAACTCCTGTCAACACAAAGGCAAATATATTATTCTCTGATGAGTTCATTGATACATTAAAGGGGCTCATGCTCATTTTCAGGTTCATAGTATATATCTGGTGCCCCCTTCGTGACACGTTTACATGCTATAATGTTCAAAAATGACTTTATTTCCCCATGTTCTCTTTGCTTTTAATGCGAACTGTGTACAAGGCATCTTATGGACGAGGCTCCTCGTAACAGTGTGTTGGCTTACTCTGATATTCAGCCATGATGGTTCTTCAGGACTGCTTTTTGAGCTCGAGTCACACTTTTCGCAGACCTTGCTGGTGATTTTGAGGTAGATGACAGTTTAGGTGTGTCGATTAAGAGGAAAAGATGCCTGTTTTTTTGGTTATTATTGATATCTGGTAATGTACAACCTAATCCTGGTCCGACTAGTAGTAGTAGTCAGATCGCTACTCCTGCTGATTTTAAAGCTAGGTCTGGGTTGGGATTCATCCATTTGAATGTGCGCAGTCTAAACTAGATTTCGTCCGCATTTGGGCGAACTCGACTGACACTGATGTCATTGTTGTATCAGAAACGTGGCTTAATAAATCTATTTTGGCCTCTGACATCTCCTTAAATGGTTATAATGTATATCGTACCGACCGACCTAATAAAGGTGGTGGCATTGCCATTTATGTGAAGAATACGTTTAGTGTAACCACATTGGTTTCCAAATCAATCAGTAAGCAACTCGAATTTTGAAGTGGCAAAGGGTCAACAGGTCATGGTGGTGGGCTGTTACAGACCCCCCTCAGCAGTCAAGGACTCTTTGTCTTCATTAGCAAACCTTTTATCTAAACTTGACTACAAGGAAATAGTGCTACTTGGCGATTTTAACTGGGACTGGTTAACTAGTGTCAGAGGATTTGTATCTCTTTAAATGTTACTCAGATTGTAGACAGTCCTACTCGCCCTAACATTCAGTCCCCAAATAAATCTTCCTTAATTGATCTCATCACTAATGTTCCCTATAAATACTCATCTGTGGGAGTATTTGCAAATGATGTGAGTGACCACTGTGCTGTAGCCACGATCAGGGACACTAAGGTCCAAAAGGTTAAACCTTGCATTATAATAAAGAGAGACACAAAACATTTTGTGGAGCAGGTTTTTGTTCATGATCGGTTTGGTTTTGATTGGGGTAAAATCGATCTGTGTGCTGATGTTGAAACTGCATGGTCACCCCTGCGTACATTTAGAGTGAAGGGACGAGACAATCCTTGGTTTTCTCCTACATGAGAGAAACAAGGCCTGGGCAAAGGCTAGGAGATCAGGCTTAGAGGTAGAATGGCTTCGTTTTAGGCAGCTAAGAAATAGCTTCACATCGCAAATCAAAAGTGCTAAGTCGAAGTATTATCTGTCAGTTACCACAAAAAACCTAAATAATCCTAGAACATTTTGGAAATCCATAAAATCGATATCCACCGGTGAAATCCGAAATGAGCTACCTCCGTGCCTTACCACAGCATCTGGCACTATATCGGACAGGGCCACTATGTTAAATTGCTTTAATGAGCATTTTGTGTCCTGCGGTTCTATGTTTGATTCTGTGACTAACTCTGCTTCTGTGAACACCCCAATCCGTGACTCTGAACAATGTGTTCTGGAAAACCCTTTCAGTTTTACTCCTTTTACTGTCAATGTTGTTCATGAAGCCTTATCTAAGCTAGATCCTAAGAAACCGGCTGGCCCGGACAACGTAGAACCTTTCTTTTTAAAGATAGCTGCAGATTTTATTGCACCACCTCACACTACTCTTTTTAACCTCTCCCTCAGCACAAACACAATTCCAAAAGTATGGAAGTCAGCTTATGTCCTGCCTTTACTAAAAGGAGGGGAGGTCAGTCAGGTTTCAGAAAGCAACATAGCACCATCACTGCGACAATGAAAATGGTAAATGATATTGCGGGTATCTTAGACAAAAAGCAGAGTTGTGCAGCTCTATTTATTTATCTTTCCAAAGCGTTCGATACCGTCGATCATCGCATCCTGAAGCAGAGGCTACTCAGTATTGGCATATCCAGCCATGCAGTGGGTGGTTTGTGAACTACCTCTCTGAAAGGTCCCAATGTGTTCAGTTTGATGGGCTCACTTCTGAGTGGTTAAACATTGCTAATGGTGTTCCACAAGGTTCTGTTTTAGGTCCACTTGTATTCTCCATCTATATCAACAGTTTAGGTCAAAATGTGGATGGAGCAACTTTACATTTTTATGCGGATGATACCGCGATGTTAAGGAGGCTGCTGTTAAATTACAGGCTGTTTTTAACATTATCCAGACGCAGCTCGCGGAGTTTAAGCTTATTTGAAATGTTGATAAAACTAAAGTAATGTTTTTTTCAAAAGCCAAACAGACACCGGAGACCAGTTTGAATATTGTTACTACCTTTTTACCTGTGCTGGACTATGGTGATCTGATCTATATGAATGCACCTGCCCATTACCTGATCAAGTTAGATGCCGCCTATCACAGCGCGCTGAGATTTGTAACTAACTGTAAAGTATTAACTCATCACTGTACCCTGTATGCCAAGGCAGGCTTGCCTTCACTAACTGTACGGAGGCTCAGTCACTGCTACATGTTCATCTACAAAGCCATGTTGGATAAACTACCTTCTTACATCTGCTCTCTTGACAAATTGAAAGTAGCTATTGCCTGAGATCTCATGATGTGGTTTTATTAAATGTGCCAAGTGCTAGGACTGACTTAGGGAAAAAAGCTTTTAGGTGTGCAGCTCCACTAACTTGGAACAGTCTGCAAAAGGAATGGAAACTGAGCAATTTGGTTCCACTAAATGTTTTTAAAGCACGGATAGATGCTATCCAATCGGAAACTGTTGGAACCTGTAAATGTCACTAGCTATGTAAACTGTAGTCACTGTAAGTATGCTTTATGATGTCCTTTTTGTTTTTCTGTTGTTTTATGTGTATTAATGTGGAACCTACTTGCAGCAGGTTGTCCTTGAAAAAGAGATCAATGATCTCAATGGGATTCACCTGCATAAATAAAGGTTTGAAATGAAATGAAATTAGATATGTATTCTAGTGTCAGGCTGAAGAAATGCAAAAGGTTATGGCTTGAAAAGTCTCCAGGATTCAGAGGCGTTTGCGCAATGCATGCTGGTAGATGTATGCACGGTCTGAATTGCTCTATGGACAGATTTATAGCATGCACTGAGGAATTTATGGCTTAATTCAACTACACTATACTATCAACAGTGGTTCCACAAAAATGTTGGCGTATTTTCCTTTTTAGAAAGGTTATGTGCTTTTGTAGTAGAAATGATTTGTGACTATGTGTAAGAGGAAGCCTGACCCAAGACAGCTTGTTGTAGCAGGTGAACTCCCAGCAGGCCAGGTAGAGGGGACAGTGGTAGTCGTTCAGAACGATGTACGCAGCTTCTGGATCAGCAGCAAAATTAAACTCGGCACACACTGTAGTGTTTCCTCGAGCTGTGGAGAAACACACAGATTACACACTGAAGTACACCATTACATGAAGGCAGAGTAGGACCATTATAAGATACAAGAACAACTCAAAAGTACAGTAGCAGGGGAAGTAGGTAATATTCTCCAAAAGACCTCAGAATTTCCAGGATTAAAGTCGTCAATTTATTTCCTGTCAACTGGACGCTTCTTTACTGTAATGACGTCGATCTGACTTTGTGAAAGAATGTAGTTCCTTAACATAATAAAGCACAATTATTTTCTCTTAAATGTGTTAATTTGATAGAGAATGTGTATGTTTATTTTGCTTATTAAGAATTTTATAATCTGAATTTTTATTTAAAAATGTAACCTTTTAATCTCAGGGATTTGTTGTCCTCTGCTCAACCCCTCAGCTCTGTAATTATTGTTTATTTTGTATCTACAATGTTCCTAATATGCCATCCCATTGTCATATGTACTACCACCAACCAGTGTGAACAAACTAGTAAATGATTTTACTGACATTCAGTGTTGCCTCCCATGATGTAGAGCGCTCTGAGTTTACTGGGCAGAGATGGGTCCAGCCTCACAGCCAGAGCCAGGTTAGTGAGGGGAGCCGTGGCAACCAGAGACACCTGGGGGGGAATAAACACACACCATGAAGACCTCACAGAGGCACACACACACACAAACAAAACACACATTCACACGTAATACATTTGTCATTATTGTTGAGTCTATAAAATGTCAGAAAATTGTGAAACCTGTCCATTCCACGTTCTTAAACTCCAAAGCTTTTTTTTATTTCAAAGACATTCAGTTTAATATGATCACACACACACACCTGTCCTGGGTTCTGGTTGATGATCCGGATCATGGCGGACACGGCGCCCTCCTCCTGCAGACGGTCCAGTCCCGGGGCGTTGGGGTCCGGAGCATCGCCCAGCCCGTCCTCTCCGTGGAAGTGTCCGGCACTCAGGCTGTTCCCCAGGATCGGCTTCGCTGCTCCTTTAAACACTGGAATCTGTCTCGTGACAAGAAGAACCCACAATGAAATATTATAACTGTTACATGTCTTTCAATCAGTTTGTTATTATAATGTAAAAAACTAAAAGATATGACGATTTACACGATGAGAACAATGAAAAAAGAGCTTTCCTGTATAATTAATTGTGTTTAATATAATAATAATATTCCGTCAGATGTTTCATTTGATATCTTTTCAAATCAAATAGCCAAAACCAGAGAACTTTCCTGCACTTTTATGTTTGTAAATCTTTTACATTTGCTGTATTTCAATATAATTTTACCCTATTCAATTTCCCTTGTATAACAAATGTACTATACAAATGAAGTTGCCTAGCCTTGAAACTTTTCCACTGAAGTTAACTGTCCTCATACTGCTTGTGTACACATTGGTCCAGTTCCTGCCTCTGGTCGTGTTGCTTGAGGAACCACAACTCATTGTCGGTCAGTTTTATAAACAGCACACATGACACACGTAATTTCCTCTCACACATTTACGATGGTCTGGAAACCCCTGTTCAATATTCCCCAGTTTACCGTGTCAAGATCATAAAATACCTACACAGTATAGAAAGCAGAGCTGCACCCACCTCGAGTTTATTGCATGCTTGGAGAACTCGCAGTGTGTTCTTACACACATTCTCCACCGTGGTGTTTCCATGGACACAGGTGACCCCCAGGACCTCCACGTTGGGGGCGGCCAGCGCCAACATGATGGCCTGAGCGTCGTCCACCCCACAGTCCACATCAAGCAGCAGCTTCTTACTCATCGTGGAGCCTGAGGAGCAAACACTTCAGAAATGACAACAAAAACATAGCTGCTCTGTTACACTACGACTCCTCTAGAACATGAGTAAACTGCAGATAATGTTTCCACTATATCAATGTTTCAGTAACATTTCTGGTTGTTTAATTTAGAGGCCCTATTATGCTTTTAGGGGGATTTTCCTCGACTGTTTAGTGTTGGATAGGTTTTTGTGCAAATAAATGGTCTGCAAAGGCTAAAATCCTAAAGTCCCCCCCCCCCCTGCCTGTAACACCTCCATTGGACTCCTTTGTTTACTTCCGGAACATTGTGGCATCTCTATGCGCTTCTATTGGCTAGCGCTACAACACATTGTACATGATAGCCTAAGGGGCGGGACATCTCTAAGCGGTTGACCAATCATAACAGAGTCAGCCAGCTAACCAATCAATGGGCTCTGGTTTCAGACAGAGGGTGAAAAAAGGTGCTGCAGCACAGGCAGTGTGAGAAAAACAAAGAGCTTTTTGAACATTAAAGCATGGAGACATGTCACAAAATACTAATATGAACCCGGATATGAGCATTAAAGGGCCCCTTTAGTTAACTTATAAAACAAAGGTACATTTTTAACAAGACAACTCCTACCTGTAGCTGAGTGTGAGAAAGATGAACAGTAGTGTTTTCCGGCTGCTTCACTTCCTCTATCAGAGTGGAACCGCCGCCGGTCAGCTGCAAACAACCTTTGAGCAGCAAGAAGAGGATCAGACTGAATGGAGAACAGACAGTGGACTGAATGGGAGGAGTTATGAAAGCACAAGTTAATGATAAATCAGCCTCTGATTAATCATTCGGTGAAAAAATGTATCTATTATCAGACTTGGAATTAACACACATGCAAAACATATTGAAAGTGTATTTATGCCACAATATAACAATACCCCCATACAGACAGTCCTGAACATTTTACTTTAGTAGATTTAAACTTCCAAAAGGAAAAGTTGCCTATTGAAGATCTGCCTATTTAAGAATCAGAAATATGTTGCATGACATTGTTGCAGATGGTAAAATGTTTAAATACGTATTAGTTGATTTATATGTTGTCTTATTATTATTAGCAAGAACAAATACAAGTAAAAGTACCTCACATGTGTACTTGAATAGAATATGTGGGTTAATGTACTTAATTACACCACATTTTATCATGTAAGAGTTTAAATGTAATCACATGTCTCTGATTTCTGCTTTAACGAGTCTGAGAATGTCTTTCACGCGTGTCTGATTGATACGGTGAACTGAAACACAGCAAGCTAACACGACTTATCTGAAAGAAATATATGAAAGCAAGCAAAGCTGTGTGAATTTGCTCAAACATCTCTCCAGTGTTTAAAGTGTGAAAGCCTCGCCTCTCACCTGCTGCAGAATCTGTGAGATGGTTTTACAACAGTTCTGATAATCAGCGCCATGCAGACAGATGGAGACAGAGAGGAGACACATGCAGAGAGGTCTCACTCTGACACCAAAAACTGCACCGGGATTAAGAGCAAAGGCTATATAAAGGTTAAGAGCAGACTGTTCACACTGTATGATGTTATGAGAACAACGTGTAGACAAGTAAAAGCATAAAAATCTAATAAATAGAATGATGCAAGTTCAAATATAGGGCTTATACATTAACATGAATACAATTCAGCAACAATAAAATGTAGGTAGAAAATATTGCAAATGATTACCCGTAATGTAAACAGACATGTATTACATTCAACACACACACACACACACACACACACACACACACACACACACACACGCACACACACACACACACACACACACACACACACACACACACACACACACACACACACACACACACACACACACACACACACACACACACACATATAAACAGGAATGTAGTAAATGTATAATTAACAGTAGAAATGGGGTCACAGAGTAAGCAGAGTAAGCATCTAGTGTTGACATTTGTTTTACTGAAGAAGTGATTCCTCTTTAACAAACAGGACATCTACAACAATGACGACATTTCCGGTAATGCTTTTAAAGGGGAACACACGTTTGTTTTGGTTTTACAGAGAAGTGCTATCAAACCACTTCACATCCCTAAATACTACAATACTAATTTTGAAAATGATATACTTTTACATCATTTTGGTGATTTTTTCTTGTGGGAAATAATAAATAACTCCTCTGTTGTACAGTGCAGTGCTACCAAATACACACAGGAACAAATAAATCCCTGGAAGGCTGGCCAGTGTAGCTGGAGATTTAAAATAAAGAATAGGAATATTCTCAAAAAGCATGGGTCATTTGATCCCGCGACTTCAAATAATGCAGTTTAGTATTATTATTCTGAAAGAGTAGGACTCATATGGCATCTGTCCTTATTTTATTTTTTCTCTATTTACGTTCTGCACGTTTGAGTCAACAAGTGAAAACATAATAAAATGTTGGTCACAAAAAACCACTCTTCACCATAAGTGTGAGGTAACCAGTAGTAGACCATGATGTGTAAAGTGCTTTTGGTAGCACTGCATCAACAACACGCTAGTCATTTATTATTTTCCACAAGAAACATTCACTAAAATTATGCAATATCCTATTGTATCAAAAATAAGTGTTGTGGTATAACCAACAGGAGACCATCAATGCATGAAGTGATTTAGGTAGCACTTCCGTGGGTAACACTGGACTGAATGATTATTTCCAAAAAGAAACAACGGGATTTTTGTGGGATTGTATGACACCTACCGTTAATCCCTCAAATTCATTCATACAGTAGATAAAACAAAAATAAATATAGAGATATTTATTCTGATAGATTTCAAACATATCACTGAGCAGCTACTTTTTTAAAGAATGCTCTCTCTGAGACAACATTTTAGATGATGAAATATTTGCTGCCCAATTCACAAAGGTCATTTAATTTACGGATACACTCACTTGGCATTGACAAGCCTTTATTCATTATCCAGTTTATTTTATACCTCTGTGGGGGTGCAAGCACCTTTACCCCCCCCCCCCCCCCCCTCCAGCCTGTGTGCGTGTACAACGGATCACAAGGTCCTACTTTACTCATTAACAATGGATAAAACTATAACAGCATTTGGCAACAACAGCCATATCAACATAAATACATGTAAGCAAAATAACATTTTCAAAATAAAATCCACTGTCTCTGTAGGTTTTGTACAATAAGGTACAATAGCGCTGGTACAACAGAAGAGGTGTTGTTGATGTTGGGAGAAAAATGCAATATGCATTATTTCAGTCTTAAAACATGTATCAAGTGCTCAAACTCTTACATTGCAACATTATACAATTGCAATAGTAAAAAGCAGTTTTTCAAATCATCTTCATGCAGGTTAAATAAACGTGGTTTTTATCCAATTTTCATTCTGCATAATTCAACACAAGCTTTGTAAACAATAACAACTCAAGTTTCAATGGCTATCAAACCACCATAGTGCTGCATATACATTTCAAAATATCCTAAATATCCGTCGATATGTTTATAGAGTAATGTGACACACCACGATTTGTAAACCCTCACTGCTTCCAGTGTAGCATCAGAAGAGAAATCACATTAGGTGAGACATCATTATACAAATGCCACACTGTGGGGTCGGATATGTGCTTGATTCAGATCAGTTGGTGTTATATACGAGAAAAAGGAGAGACAGCGCGATAGAAATAGACAGCAGGCTAAAAGCTCAGCAATGAATCAAATGAGTGCTTTGACTTCTTTACGCCTAGTCATTCTGCAGCTCAATTTAGGTCCAGAAAAATATGATCAAAGCTCTGATCTTTTAATCAAAGCTACACTAGCTGCTACTACTAGAATTGTAGCTGTTTCTTAAAAGACACTTTTTCAAGAGTTAAACTCATTTTCTTTTCTCCAGACAATAACACTTTTTTACTGCTGTTGTCTTTCGCCTAAATGTGTATCTTTTAGCACTCCACAAATAAGAGAACATCTTACACAGCATCAGCAACACAAATCCAATGAAAAGACCAACAGTAACAATGCCTTATTGTCTCTGTGTCTCTCAGCTCCAAGCCCATCTTTATAATCTGCTCACAGATATGTAGTTCAACTCTTTTTTAAGGGTGCTCTGTAATTCCGCAAACAGCAGGGCACTGTAGCTCATAACGTAAATGTTAATCAAGCAGGAGTGAACATTTGTTTAGGACTTTTCAGGGGTGGATAAATACACATATTGTGAGTTTTACAGCAGTAACTTTGTGTATGTGGCATTTACTCAAAATAAACTACAATGCCCACGTTCACCGTAATAAGGGACCTGTCAGCCAGTGAAAGTGTGGCTCGTTGATGTGCTTTTCATCGTTTTTTGGCACCAATGTTCATTGTTCGTCTTTGCAATCAATTTTGTGGCAATATCAAAAATGGTTCAGCCTTGACCATCTGACAATCTGATCAAATAAATAAAAAAGGAAAATAACAAACGTGTCCCTGATCGTCTTTCTAAAGACTGAGTCTATTTCAGATCTTTTTTCTACGGACACGATGTACTCCTGATGCTACGACTGGTCGTCTGCACACAGTGTTGTCTGCACAGAGGCTACAATGTGACACAGAAAGGCATCCCTAGCATCTCTGTCTGTGAAGTGGTCGTGAAAAGTGTGTGATTCTAGCACTACTAGAGGAGGGGGGGAACGGCTAGAAAACAATCTACAGTAGCACTTGGACATTTATTATCGTAACAGTGACTAAGCACAAAACAAAGGGCTGTTGTTCCAGTTCGGTATTTTTTGTTTGTGTGGTGCTCTCATCATAATTCCCTCCAGCCTTTTGGGTTTCCTCCAGTTCAGATTAGGTCTCGACCTTCCCGTACGTCCCCTCTGGAGGGCGGTATTGTTTGGGGAAGGCCTTGAGCTGCAGAGCGTTGAAGGCGTATTTACGACATCCCACGTTCTTCATGGTGTTCTCTCTCCTGCAGCCCTCACTGTGGAGACACACAAGCAATGCATTATTTATTTTTTACAATGAGCTGCAGGGGTTTGGTTACATGATTGAGATTTATGACCTTTATGATCAGCTGACCTGCGCATACAGTCCAGGGCCTGGTAGAAGACCTGCGGGGCGAGGGCGTGCTCCTGCTGCAGGACCTGGCACTGCTCCAGGGTCAGAGACATGGCCGTGCGGTCCTTGGCGCTCTTACAGCTGGTGAAGCGCACGCCATTCAGACGCCGGCACGCCTTCAGGGGTTTGGAGAGTGAGATGAGAGGAGACTTTACAGCAGAATCAGGTTTTTATACACAAGGAAAATGCTGTTGTGTATTGGTGCATGACATACACATAGTAAGAGGAAATAAACATAGATATGGAAGAAAAAGTCAATTCTTTCACACACAGTGACGTCACGAGCTACCCACAATGCAACGCGCGCCATATATATATATATAAATACGCCATTTTCCTGGAGGTGCTAATATCCTGGAGGTGCTAATATAAACAGCTAGGTAATGTAGCAGGGCAGAGCGCAGTAGGTTTTTTTTCTGAATAAACGACCGAAGAAATCGCTGCATGTCTTCGGATTACATCTCTGGACTTGAGGGGTGTGCTTTAGGTCGTTACCAGCGTAAACTAGAGCTGTGTGGGTTGTCCGATTGCCCTTACAGACTGCCTGCAGATGTATGGAAAAACGACTCTCGAAAGTGGCCTTCGGTCGATTTTGGCAGCATCTACGTCTATCTTCTGGAAACACCAGGTGAATACCCCACTTGTCACAATAATATTATCATGCCAATGCATATATGTGGTATTTTAGAGTTGACTATATTGATTAAGGCAATAGACTATGATATTCTGCTTGCACCTCGTGTGAAATGGTGAATACCGGAAGTACGGTGTCGCCCTCGGCCCAAAACCCGTATGTGTGTGTGAAAGAATACAAAAAACTATAAAATATATGTGTATATCTGAATTCAAATCAAACTGTATACTGTAGAAGAAATGTGCAATAAAAAACCAAACACGTACTATTAAATATATAGAATATATCTGAACTAAAAGGAAAGAGCTGGGCAGTTGTTAAGGATTTTGCAGAAATGGGCAAAGTTGCATATTGTTAATGTAAATTAAATTAAAAAAAAACAAGAATGAGGAATAGAAGAACATCAAAAACCATGAAAGAATTATAAATAATATGAAATATACTAGAAAAATATTTAGAATATCCAAATTAAAATAAAAAAGATTTTTTTTAGAATTGGTTATTTTGTGCATGAAAATGCAGTTGACCAAGGAGTATGCTTTGGTGCATAACATTAACCAAGTAAGATGAATACAGAAGTACAAAAGTTAGATATAGAATAGAAGATAACTGCAATCAAATTATGAAAAAAAAAGAAATGTGTACAATATATTTGAATGAAGAATGGTGCAGTTGTAATACTTTCTTGCAGAGATGTGCCCAAGAAATGTTTTACAGTGTGAAGAAATGCAACGTCCAGAGCTATAATCCCACAGATAC